TGTAATATTTAAAACTCAAGTCACAACCCTGAATATTATTTTATGTCTACTAATTTTCATCGGATCCAAATGAACAGTGTCGTGATACTTCAGATGACCATAAACCGATTCTTCATCATACTATGCATCAATCAGAACCCGTCCATGACCATTACTAGGGTGAGGTCCATGAACGTTTCTGAGATAGCGTTCCGCACAGTCTGGAATCCTCTCATGCCCATCCGTGAACAAGGATCATCATTAGAAAAAGGTATTACCACACCTTCATTCCTATGAACATCCGTTGTCTCATCAATAATGACCCGGAATATTAATCTGTTGACCACATTAAAGCCATACCTGTATGCTTCCATAATTTACCACAGTGTTATACAAGTGTGAGTTGCATGAACGCGTCCGGGTTACTGATTGGCTCGCTCAACCCACTAATTATTTCAAACCCGTTATTAAGATAATACATGTGGATTGATCATCCAGAACATAGATGGGTAATGGTAGACACGGCTGGAATATTTTCCAAAAGTTAACCAATACTTGGGTGAAGGACATGAACATGTTCCAGTTAGAGTCCGGCTAGCTCTGCAACCCGCCTGCGCCATGATGTTTCTTGGATATTTTTCAGTGGGGTAATGTCTAACTCATGTGAGGTCAGTGATGGTTTCCGGTATCATTCACAACTGTGTTGAGGTAATTTTAAACTCCTCATCATCCACTTCATCTAGCTTCCTCGTTGAAACAAGGTGTTAAGTTAAGTTAAGAATAATGAAGAGAACACTTAGAGGATGGTTGTGTGTTGATTAGGAGTGAAATGGATATGGTGCATATTTAGGGTGATGGTACGGACCGTATGGACAGGTGTACGGACGGTACAGACCATCTCGACCTAAACCACTTCAAATCACTCTTTGATCACATTTTGGGATTGTGCAAATTTAGGGTGAGGAGTTGTACGGATAGGAAATCTGTACATGTAGATTACTTGTGGTCTAAGATATTGGTGGACGAGAAGGAGTATGGAAGGAGATATTCTAAGGGAAGTAGAAGGTTTGATGTCTAGTTGGTGGTAACTGTTAGAGGATAAGGCTAGGTGTGTGGGAATCTGTTGCTAGCTGTAAAGGGAAAGACCATCTAGTCAAGACGCTCTTGGCATCAAGTGTGCGAGCCATATAGACCAAGCATTCAAATGGGACACTCCTCGGTCAAGCTGACTTCAAATGCTTATTGTTTACCTTATCTTATCCGATTGTATATCCTCTCCTTTATATTGTAAACACTAAGCTGCCAAGTAATAAACACAGAATTTTAAGTCTCTCTCTATCTCGAGCTGTTCATCATGATTCTCAACTAAACTCTTATCATTTTGTGTCTACATCTCTCATTCTATCTGTTCAATCTCTTTTTCTTACTAAAATATTATGGTATCAGAGCCAGGTTACTCATATCCTGGTGTTTAAACTCGCAAATCTTCAGCTTCATTTCCAGATTCAAGTTTGTTTCTTTTGCGGATTATTTCAAAAGTTTCAAGATGGAAGAACACAAGAACAAGACTATGGTGGTTCCGGTTACTTTGAAGGGAGGAGAAACTACCTGTTATGGTCTCGCCTGGTGAAAATGGCGGTAGGAAGCAAAGGTCTATGGAGTCACATCTCAGATGGAGCTCCTAAACCGGTTGCAAAAGAAGGTGAAGGTGCCATGGAGCTGGTTGTCGCGGATTAAGAGAAGTGGGCACAAGATGACTTGAAGGTGTTGTCCGTGATACAAGTTTCACTTGCAGATTCAATCTTGGAGGCATACATCAACTGTGAGACACCAAAGGGGTTGTGGGAGATCATCCAGAAGGTTTATGGTTACACATCAAACCTTAGCCGAGTGTTTGAAGTGAATAATTCCATCAATGCTCTCGCACAAGAGGAGATGGAGTTTACTAAACACTTGGAAGGTTCAGGGCAATCTGGTCTGAGCTAAAGATGCTAAGGCCGAACACCACTGATGAAGACACTCTCAGAGAGAGGCATGAACAAGACCAAGTGTTTGGCTTGTTGTTGACTTTGAATCCGGCTTACAAAGATGTGATAAAACACATGTTGAGGTCGTCGAAACTTTCATCTTTTGATGAGGTATGTGCTCAGTTGCAAAAAGATAATGATTCTCTTAGGTTGTTTGGGGGTAATAGTGACACGAACTTGGCGAATCAAGTGGAGACAGTTCAAGCAAACAAGGTGGCTTACCAAGGAGAAGAGAAGAAGTTTGGTGGGACTTGTAATCATTGCAAGAAGCTGGGTCACAAGAAGAGCCAATGCTGGATACTCCATCCTCACCTCAAGCCGGAAAAGTTCATGAAGGATAGAGAGGCAATGGCTCATCTCTCTCATGGAGGAGGTGAAGCAAGCTCTTCTGGAACCGGTCCAAACATGTGTGAAGGTGAAGGAAAGGCATTGGTATCTCAGCCATCTTCTCCACTGAAGCTGGACAATGATGTGATCAGGAAATCCGATATTGAGGCCCTTATCAAGGCTCTCAAGGATAGTGGTAACATCATTACTAAACCCCTCGGCTACTCTCTTGCTGCATCTAAAATTATTGAATACTCATTTGATGCATCTAAGCTGCCTAGATCATTTAATAATACAAGTCATGAAACCGGATTAGCTAGTACTAATGTTGCTCATTCATTGCTTAAATCTTTGGTAGTAGACTTAGGTGCATCTCATCACATGATTAGTGACACTAGTCTTATAAAAGATATAGAACCTGACCATGGTCATGTTAAGATTGCAAATTGAGATCGGATAGCAATAACTGGTATTGGTAATTGGAACTTGTTTGATAAAGAATCTAGAGCCTTATATATGCCTAAATTTACTTCTAATCTCTTATCAGTCAAGAAATGTACTAATGGTTTACATTAGAATGTTATCTTTAGTCCTAATGATGTGAAATTTCAAGATATTGAGAGCCATAAGTTGATTTGGAAAGAAGTTACCAAAGGAGATCTCTACGTGCTTGAAGACCTAGCCCATATTTCTAGTTCCAGTTTTTCTTTTAATTCTACTTTGAGTACTGATACTATGTGGCATGCTAGATTAGGACACCCTCATGTTAGAGCCTTAAGCTTAATGTTACCAGGTGTCATGTATAAAAATAATGAATGTGAAGCATGTATTTTGGGTACGCATTGTAAAATTGTTTTTCCGAAATCTAGTACTATCTATCAAAAATGCTTTGATCTTGTTCATTCTAATGTTTGGTCTACACCTTGCTTATCTAGGGAAAACCATAAATACTTTGAGACATTCATTGATGAAAAATCTAAATACACCTGGATAACACTCATTAAGTCTAAGGATGGAGTGCTTGATGCATTTAAGAACTTTCAAACTTATGTCTCTAACCAATACAATGCCAAGCTTAAGATTTTCATGTCTTATAATGGTGGTGAGTATACAAGCCATGCGTTCAAGGAACACTTGGGTCAGCATGGGATTTTGTATCAGACAAGTTGTCCTTACACTCCACAGCAGAATGGGGTTGCTGAAAGAAATAACCGACACCTAATGGAAGTAGCTCGGTCCCTGATATTCCAAACCAATGTACCTAAGAGTTTCTGGAGTGATGCATTTATCTCAGCATGCTACTTGATCAACAGAATACCAACCAAAGTGCTAGAGGATCAATCTCCCTTTGAGGTACTAAACAAGGCCAAGCCATCTCTTAACCATCTACAGGTCTTTGGATGTTTGTGCTTTGTCCATGTACCTGATGACATGAGGAATAAGCTTGAGGCCAAGAGCACTAGAGCTATCTTTGTAGGATACTCTACAACTCAGAAGGGTTATAAGTTCAGCTAGTTGATGTCTTCACTAAGGCTGCAAGACGGAAGGTTATGGAGTCCGTTCACATTAGGTTGGGGCTCATTGACCTAACCCTAAGAAGCTAAACAACTCTCCTCGCCAAGTGGTATTTACTCTTTTATCTCATCAAGGTCTTATTCCAAAAGATGGGTTTTCTTTGGTGAGGTTTTTAATGAGGAAGATCTCATGGAATTCCAATCTTGACTTGTTCCACATGGTCAAGCTTGAGGGGGAATGTTAAGCTGATTTAAGAATAATGAGAAGAAGGCTTGGAAGATGGTTGTGTGTTGATTAGGCGTGAAATGGAGATGGTGCATATTTATGGTGATGGTACGGACAGTACTGACAAGTGTACGGATGGTATGGACCGTATGGATAGGTGTACGGACGGTACAGACCATCTCGACTTAAACCACATCAAATCACTCTTTGATCACATTTTGGGATTGTGCAAATACATGGTGAGGAGTTTTACGGATAAGGAATCCGTACAAGTTGACCATACAAGTAGATTACTTGTGGTCTAAGGTATTGGGACGAGAAGGAGTATGGAAGGAGAGACTCTAAGGCAAGTAGAAGGTTTGATGTCTACTTGGTGGTAACCGTTAGAGGATAAGGCTAGGCGTGTGGGAAGCTGATGCTAGCTGTAAAGGGCAAGAGCATCTAGTCAAGATGCTCTTGGCATCAAGCGTGCGAGCCATATGGACCAAGCATTCAAATGGGACGCTCCTCAGTCAAGCTGACTTCACATACTTCTTATTTACCTTATCTTATCCAATTGTATCTCTTGTCTTTTATATTTTAAACACTAAGCTACCAAGTAATACACACAGAATTTCTAGTCTTTCTCTCTGTCTCAAGCTGTTCATCATGATTTTCAACTAAATTCTTATGATTTTGTGTCTAAATCTCTCATTCTATCAACTTAATCTCTTCTTCTTACTAAAATATCACAAGGGGCCTCCTGACAAAACTTGGATGGTTATTGCTCCCATTCATCCACGGATTACTATTGCTCACATCCACCCACGGGTTTTTTTCATCACCCACATCATCTTTAACATTGTTGGAATCACCTACTTTGACAAAATAGTCAAACGCATCGTTTGTTTGTCGTGCATGTGTAGCGGCGTGGCCGAGTCTTCTTAGTTAACCATCCACAATCACATTATCATTATAAAGTATATTCACGGCATTAAACCCACCATAGCTACCGTTAAGTAGTGGACTCCAAAACTCTTTATCATAACCTCTAGGTCGTATGTCTCTCTCGTCAACCACATCTACTTCACCCACAACATCGTCTTCCCCCGCACTACTACCGCTTCCATCTGTTTCCTTTCTGTGCGAGCTTTCATCATTGATTTCTTCCTCAACTCTCTCTACCTCACGTATAAACTCAACATCCTCCAAGTTCACAACTTGTGGCTTCGACACCGCTGATGAAAGATAACCACACCTCGAGGAACCAGATCCAATAGTGGAAGAAACCTTCATTTTTAAAATCGAGGGAGTCACAAACCCCATCACTGAGTCATCAACGTTGTCGCTCCTCGCAAACCTTACAAACAGATTCATAGCTCATTTCACTCTCAAATGCTGCAAGAAGTACCGTATCGCTCTTCACTGGTAAGTAGTACTAGAGGGGTTCTTATCCCGGTTTTTATCTCCAAAGATGTCGGCGGCCAGTAGCTAAGTGCAGCCACAAACACATCTTCCTCTATGTCAAACTCATGCAACTGTTCCCTTGAATTTCTCTCAAACGCATACCTTCGTACAGAGGAACCAGCCTCGCCACCTGTCTTTTGTCAAGAACAAAATCCCACTTACCTCCATTACCACAAACCAATCGCCGCACATGATCATGCACTGGTCCTCCATTGCCCCCACTTGCAACACTGCAACACAATCAGTCAAAATAGTCATGACTTAAAAGATTTTTAAGCCAAAATCAATACCAATCTTACCTACAATTCCCACTAAAGGCAGCTTGTTTTGAAACAATCGATGATTTTGTTGTACTCTTACCTCCCAAAAACCCCAACGGAAGTAATAACTTCACGCCTTTGTCAATCTCACCTACTAATCACTTTTTAATTTCAGCTTTCGGATTAACTGTGTTACGTCTATATCCAATGACCAAGAATAAGGCACTTTTTTTATAAACAAAGATATCATTGGACTCTCCACTGTTTTCAGATTTGGGTTTTGAGGCTAAACAAAATCACCAAATCAGTAAGTTACACTGCTTTACTCATTGAATCTAATCTACCTCATTTTTCTTCATCTTTCTTCTTCTTGTACCGAGCAACATACTTGTAATAGTCCTCAAGCTCTTTTTCCAGCTTCTCTATGAACTCACTCGTATGTTCAAGCGATTGCTCATACCGATATTTCTCCAAAGCCTGCTCTTTCATGATCACTTTCATCAGAAGAGTAAAAGAATCACACAGACAACATAAAATTAACTGGATTCATCATACCTACCTTATCTTTAGAGAGTGTATCAACAGGAGACATCACTTCTGGTCTGACATAGTTTTTCCCGCGGTACAGTACTATGGCGTTGTTAGGTTTAACATCGATCACAATTCCCTTGCTTAACCTAGCAAGCTCTTCTGCATACTCATGAATCTGCCCCAGTTTGTTGCATGGCTTGCATATAACTTTAACAGTCTCGTGCTTTTTCCAATGGAGGTGCATGTTCAGGACCACACCTCCAAACACTCCTCGTCTTCCCACAAGTACAAAGTTCTTTCTCTTTTCACCTGTGCGTTTTAGGTAATGCTGCTCTTCCTCTGTCAAAGTTTCTGGATCATAGGCTTCTGCTGGCAATTTCGGGACATCATATTTCCTCAGTTTCTCAATCAACCATTCTTCTTTTCTCTTGGCCTGTACAAGTCAATAAATTTATATACCAACATGTTTCATAGAGATTCTTGAATAAAACACACATAAAAGAGAAGACAGAAGTTTGCATGTAAAAAGATGAGCAAACAATAGTTCGAGAATATAAAAACCGATTGTAACCTTTTCGAGCTTATATCTTATCCTAACTTCAGGATTTGGAGAATTCATCTTCTTTTTGGCCTTTAGACGGTAAAACCTTAACTCATTCACTTTAGCCTTTCTTGACGATTTAGCTCGTTTCCATTTCTTGTCTGTCCTCATAGGCACACTTCTGTTTTCAGTGACTTTGTTGTTGAAAGAAAACCTCACCACATTATCTTCAGTTCTTAGCTCTATCGTCGAATTACTCATGTAACGTCTGCTGTACTCGAATACATTCTGATTTGAAGACGCTGCTTCATGTGGAACTTCTACGAAAGGTCTCTGCTTTGTATAGACGGAGTAATTAGGGAACTGATTATGATGCACGAATATTCCAGACCTCCTGCAAAAATCCCAAGAACGTGTCTGTAAGAACACATTTTGTTTTTAACACAATCTCTAAGACCACATACAAGGAAAACAAAATAACAATTTCTAGTTTCTCCACTGAAGAAACTACAAAGTTGCAGAAAAACTGACAATATTGATCCGTGTTCTTAAAACGTTGTCTATAAGAAGACACAAGAAAAGCAAAACACTTTCTAGTTTCTACAGCAAAACGTACAATGCAAAATGGCAGGCAACAGTTCATCAAGAACTTGATTCAAGCGGAAATCACGATTCTAGAATAATTTAAAACGGGAATTACCATCTGGGATTTCTAAAAAATCGATTAGCGATTCCTTTGGCACAACCTAAACCAAACATCATTACTTCCTGTGTGTCACAAAAGGTCCAGTCCCGCTTCTTATCTTCACAAGAAGATTGAATACAACTCAAAAAAAAAAAGAAAGATAGAGAATCAGAACACAGAAAGAAAGAGAACGGCTAAAAGGGAAAGCCGTGAAATTGCGGCGTGGGGGAACACGGGGCTCGGAGACGAAGAGAAGGCAAGAATTTTGACGAGGGTTTAGACCAAAAAAATGGAAGTATTCCGTCTCACATAACCGGTTGGTTTAACGTGTTCTTTATTTTGGTTTACTGTTTACATATTAAATCTTTTACTCCTCGAATCAAAATGCCCAGTATTCCTCGTGAAAAAGATATTCTTGGCTAATCCTCCCTATTTTATTAATTTATTAAATTTTTATTTAAATAATAAAATTTTGTAAAAGACAACGAATCCAAACAAAATTACATAATTACAATCCAGTCTAGGTTTATCAAAACTCAAAATCAACACCAACCCAAAAAATCGGATTCATAATTTCAAAATAAATTAGAATTCTTTAATACGCTTAAAAATACGGTTTCACTTATTTTTTTCTCGACTGTTCGCTTCTTAAAATTTCTCATAACCCTACTCAATCGCTAGAGCGAAAAGAATCAAAACCTAGATAATGTTGAATCGAGTCGATTCCGGTCCGAGGCGAAAGAAAACACGTCAAATAGTGTAGTAGAAGAAATAGCGGTGGTCACATTTGAAACCGGAGAAGTAATTGGGCATGACTTCGTAAACCCAAACCCCAATGACAAATCTGTTGATCCAGAAGCTGAGGAAACTCTCGCTGAGAAAGAAGCAAAGGAAAACGAAGAATATTCAAGTGATAAATAGGAAGAGAAAGAACCAAGAGAAGAAGAGAAGGAATCCAGAAAAGATGGAAAAAGATTCCGGAGAAGGAGATGAAGAAGAATCTGGCGAAGGAAAGGAAGTGAAATCCGGAGAAGATGAAAACGAATCCAGCGAAGGAGATGAAATGCAAGATGAAAAGAAATACGGAAAAGTGATGAAGTGGAATCCGGAGAAGATGAAAAGGAATCAAGAGAAAAAGATGAAGAATTCTTGGAATCCAGAGAAGGAAATGGAGTGGAGTCCCAAAGAAAAAATGATGAACAAGCTGAAGAGACGGGGGAGACCCAAGCAGCGCGACAACATCAAACTGAGTCGCATGCAGGAGTAAGAAATTTGTGGGTAAATTTGTAGAACTTTGAAACCTGAAATCTTGGTGAAATATGATTTGGATCTTATTACTCTAAGAGAGTAAAAATTTGCAAAACAAAGTGAAATTTCGAGTAAGCATAATATTTGGAAACAAAATAAAACTTGTAATGTTTGGAGAACTTTGTAAAACTAAATTGAACTTCAATTGTAGCAGTTAAAAAACTTTGCGAAAGCATGAAAAACCTCACCTTATGATTGTCTAACTAAGTCCAACTTTGTGAAACGTTATGTTGATGGTTGTAACATGTCGAACGTGATCCGGTTTTCAGCTTAAAAATGACGAAGAAGAAGGCATGCAAACGCTGAAGTTTCACTTTCCTCCAAGCCAGTATCAGGAGAGTTTAAAGCTTTCAGAAAAATGTTACATCGACACGGCGTTAAGCACTATGCAAAGGATCCCAAAAAAGAAGGAGATGTACTGGTTCATAGAGCACCCACAATTCCAACATTTCTTCCATTTACAAAACTGAAAGCAAAAGTGAATGGGAATGTGGATTGCCGTTTTGCGTTCAACTTGTACAAAGAAGAAGAATGAGTTATGGTTTATTTTTAATTACGTCCAAATCCGATACTCTCTCCGAGAATTCAGACTCATCTCTGGATTATATTGCCATGAGTATCCCCAAAACCATGAGAGGTTGGGTGGTACATCCTGCATGAACAAGTATTTTGAAGAGAAAAGGATTACATACGCTGAAGTGGAGAAGCATATGTTGGAAATGAAAGCAGCCATCTCATCCACATGCTTCCTTAACCTTTCAACCTCTTCCTCGACACCAAAGACCTATGGCTGACGGAAATGGAAGCCATCATTCAGAAAGTATCATAATCTGCAAATAAAACATGAAAATATCCATTAATTACCTCAAAATTTATGCAAGTGAAGTATTTTCTCCCTAGTATGTATCAAAACCGGTTCGATACTTTGGATCCCGAGACACCTCGTTTCTGATTCTCCCCCATAAGAGCAGCTGGTCGGTCCCGCACTCGGCATCCGCCACGAACCCAAGCATGTCGTTGTGTGTCTTCAAGGCCTTCATCTGTCTATGCTCTTTTGTATGGATGAGTCATGATTCGGTTGATTGATTCTGAGTTAGAAAAATAGAAAGAATGAAGAAATCTCTAGAGAGAGAGAGATGTGGTTGAGAAAAAAATGGGAAAACCCCACAAATAAAGGCTTTAATACATGTCCTCCTCGATTCCGCATCGATTTTGGGGGAGAGGAAAAAATTTTAAAAATGGGTGGGAAAATTTGAAAATTTGAGCGGGATAAATTTGTAAGCGATTTTCGTGCTTAAAGTTTCTCAGAGTTTGTAGTTATAAAAAAACGTTTACAGTTTTACTTTCCTGTTTTTTTTTTTTGCAAATTTCTTAGTTCTACTCTATATAGATGAATAATTTTGTGGTTACACCAACTATATTATGTATGCTATTTGCATTTCTCATGTGGTTGATATACCATGATTTTGACCCACTTTTAGTCAAGGTATATTAATATTTTTATAAATATTTATTATATTATAGAGACTTTTAAGTATATTTGTAGGTTCAGAAGTATTTTGGAAGAAAGTGATGTTTTTGGAGCATTTAGAGAGAATTGGAGAAATCACTCGATTTGGATATCGACCAACACATGGAGGTCAACACAAATTATTTATAATCGATTGATATGCTCAATGCAGTATCGATCGATGCCGAAGGCGCGTAAGACCAATTCGCGACCTAGTCGACTTGAAGCCCCAGACTTCAGCAAATTAAAATTATGCCCTTGACAAGTTTGTACCTAAGTATTTATACTTTGCGAAGGTGTTTTAGGAAAAGAGAACTTTCATGTATCCTTATTTTCACAGCAATTTTTTTTAAGGATTCTTAGAGTTGGAGAGAAGATCCAGAGACATTTGTGATTGGAACTCCATTGTATTCTATATATCTATATATTTATGAGGTTTAATTAATTTGTTTGTGTTATGATTTTCTTAGCTATGTCTGAGTAATTCACTTGTTAGAGTTAGAGTTTAAATAGGTTAGAGGGATTAGCCCCAACTATAGGATCACTTGTTGTGATATTCATTACTCTACAGAAAATGTAAATATTAATAGCATCATATTATAGCATTTATGACATATGAGCATCATATTATTGTATACCAACACCAGCTTTTTAATAGCGTTTATAAATTTAAAATGTTATGTTTTGTATCGCGGAAAAAATATTTTTTTTAGCCGCGTTAATTTACTAAGGGATTGACTGGTTCTCCCACCATCACCCGAAAACACAGCTTTTGCGGTTGCTAGCGGTTGTTGGCATTTTGCAACAATCACAGAAAACGTAATAAACCGTTTCAAATCGCTCTGAATCTCTAAAATTCAAAAGATGGTTCCATCTAGCGTTTGCGGTTGCGGGCGATTGCGGGAGGATAAAAGATATTATTTCCCAAAAAGCTATATAAATATAAAAATAAAATTTTCATTTAAAATTTTAAACTAAAAATAATTGAAATACCAAAATATTTATATAATAAAATTTCCAAAAAATTCTTTAATTTTTTGAAAATTTATTAGTATAGTTTATCAATGAAATTTTTATATTTATAATGAAAGTATGATTTTAATATTTTGATAATTATATAAAATATAAATATTCTTAATGTATTACTTAACCGCTGCTGTATTTGATAATAAATCAGCCATAAGTATCCCGCAAACGCAACAATTTTTAACCATTAAACCAGTCGTCTAAATCTCTTACTAATGCTTAAAACCGCAATCTCCTGTCTCCGCAAACGTCCGAAACCGCAACCGTAATCGCTGCGTTGTAACCAGTCAGACCCTAAGTATAGGCATCTTACCATTATAGATCGAAAAATAAATGCTATTGGAAAAATTTAAAATATCCAAAATTTTAGTCAAATATACTTATTGGTTAATAAGTGGAAATGAGAATAACAAATCTCTAATCTCAGCCAGTAATAGTAACTAATCATATTTCCCCAAAACTAAATCTTCACCGTGAAGCTCTCTCTTTCTCTGCAAATCCCACGTCTATGTTCAAGTCTTGCTTCAATTTCTCCAACCTCAAACCCTAATTTCATACGTCGAGAAGATATAGTTGATGGAGTTGAGTCTTCATTTCAAGAGAAGTAAACTCTGTTATGGACTGTGGATCTCTGAGAACCGAGATTTTCTATTTCTATTTTCATAATTTGTTGTTTTTTTAATAATGAAAATATTTAACAAAATTATTACATCATTAAAATAAAATTACTAAATTTTTAATAACATTTCTATAATGTTATTATAAATATTAACAATTGCATAAACAAAAACGCTATTGTTGTACGCTTAACTATAAAACGCTATTGTTGTACGCTTAACTATAACATAAACGAAAACCACTATGAAAAGTGTTGGACCTATTATAATGGGCTCTATCAGAGCGGACAAGGAAGCGCTATTATAAATGACTCATAGCTTTTTTCCTCCTCTAATACTATCCTTATTTCCTATAGTGTTAATAGGATGTTCTTAATGCCAATGTTCTATATTTGCTAACTAGAAACCTTGACCTAGGAGTTTAGATTGTTTAAGCAACCTTTAGACAGTTCTAAATATACTGAATCCATTCATTAAGCTAGGATTTGCTAGAGCATAGCGATAGCTTGATCTAAGGGTTTATAGTGAGTATAGATTAACTCGCACATAAAGCTTAACTAGCCGCATCGATCGATATTCACTTTGGATATTGATCAACATTGTGTAAAGTGCATCGATCGATATTTCTATAGAATATCGATCGTCACTATTATTGATCGAACATTCTTGTCCTCACTATTATTGATTGAACATTCTTGTTTGGGTCAATAAGATTAGTTAATAGACTTATTCAGTAAAGCGAATGAATTTGTTATTTAGTGGTTAAGCTCTTCAATACCCTGCAAACAATTAATTATCACCTATATG